AAAATTAAAAAAAAAAAAGAGAAGAAAAAAAGAAAATGACCTCTCTGCCACCAGACGTCACTGAAAGGAAATGGTTGGCGAGGGGTGGGTGTTTGGCCTGGCGGTTAACACTCTGATTAAGACACACACGTCCCACATCGTAATGCCTGGGTTCAAATCCTGGCTCCGGCTCCAGACTCCACGTGCCTGCTAAGGCAGACCCTGGGAGGCAACTGTGACACTGAAACGATTAGATGCCTGCCACCCATGTGTGGGAGACCTAGATTGAGTTCTTGGCTCCTGGCTTAGGCTGGCCCAGCCCAGCCAGGATGGTTGCAAGCATTTGGGGAATGAACTGTCTGTCTCTATGTGTCTTGCTCTGCTTCTCAAGTAAATAAAGTACACAGGGGCTGATGAATAGATGTGAGAGAGCTGTTAGGATGTTGTTTAAACTGGTGGTTTAAGCCACCGTTTGGGACAGCCACCACGAGTCCCAGCTACGCCATGTTCTTGCTCATGCACCCCTGAGAGGCAGCAGGTGGTGGCCTGAGTGTGTCAACTCCCACCACCCACATGGGAGCCAGGTTGATTTCTTGGCTCTTGGCTCTGGCCTGGGCCATCCGTGGCTGTTGCTGGCATTTGGGGGAGTGAACCAGCAGACAGAAGATCAGTCTCTTGTCTCTCTCTCCCCCTTTCACCTTCCCGGTCTCTCTCGCTCTCTCTGTTGCTCTGCCTTCCAAATAAATGAGTAACTTAACTTAAAAAAACTGGTGGCATCATGGAGCAGGGTCTGAATGATATTTAGGAGATCAAATCGGCATCCTTTGACAATTAACGGTAGAGGTGTGCGAGAGAAACAAGGCAGGCTCCCAGGTGTGAGTAGCCAGGAGAATGGGAGGGGAGGGAGGTTGCCATTGCATGGACCTCTAAGAAATCCACCTGCTCGGGGAAGCGCAGATTCACTGTGGGAGCAGGTAAGAGGACTGGCTTGTGTGTGGACACCCGCCTGCTGCTATCTTGGCTGTGAGGGTTTTCTGTACTAGCCCGGTGGGGGTGTGCTGAGGGGCCATGGACTGAGCATAGATGGGAGTTTGCTTGGCAAGTTTGGAAAAGCAACAGAGTTGAAGATACCAGCAGGCAGAAGAAGAGTCCTGATGTCCCGTGGAAGGGAAGCCGTGAGGGCTTTTGGAATTTTTATTGTTTTGTTTTTAATGTAAAGAAATAAAGTCCTTATGATCACAAGCAATGTCTGAATGAGAGACCCGAAAATTTCAGGGATTTGGTGTTACACTGGGAGGTGTGCGTTTGATATTTTAGTATGAAGCAGCGCCTGGCGATGCCTGGTTAGGGGTCGACATGACTGCAGACATCAGGGAGGCAAGAAGCTGGTGTTTTGGAGGGCGTTCCACACGGGTGCTGACATTACCCACGGTGCTGGCAGGAAGTAAGGCGCAGGAAGTGACTGGAGCCAGTGCTGAGGTCTTCCCTTCCAACAGCAGGTCCCAATTCCTGCCCCCTTCAGCTGTGCTCAGACTTTGCCCTGCACACGGAATGCACACCCTACTCTATTCTATCCACCTACAACGTGCCTGCCTTCTCTGGGAGAGAACCTCACTGTTTCCAAGGATCCCTCGCGACTCACCCATGTAGAAAGAAGAGATAGCAGAGGTCTTCCCTCTGCTAAACAGTCATCACTAAAGTGGTGACTCAGCAGGATTTCTATAGATCCTAAAGTGCTGAGTCACTGCCTGAGAGTATTTAACTCCGCGGTAGGGGCAGAGCTCGGGCCATTTGTGTTCCTGTCTTCACTTTGAGAGTCTTGACACATTACCCTTATTTCCTCTTTTTATTTTATTTATTTATTTATTTATTTTTGACAGGCAGAGTGGACAGTGAGAGACAGAGAGAAAGGTCTTCCTTTACCGTTGGTTCACCCCACAATGGCCGCTGTGGCCAGCGCGCTGAGGCTGGCGCACCACGCTGATCCGAAACCAGGAGCCTGGTGCTTCCTTCTGGTCTCCCATGCGGGTGCGGGGCCCAAGCACTTGGCCATCCTCCACTGCACTCCCAGGCCACAGCAGAGAGCTGGCCTGTAAGAGGAGCAACCGGGACAGAATCCAGCGCCCCGATCGGGACTAGAACCCAGGGTGCCAGCGCCACCAGCAGAGGATTAGCCTAGTGAGCCGCAGCACTGGCCCCCTTATTTCCTTATTGCAATTAAGGTTGTCCACCCCTCCCCCCTTTTTTAAGGCAGAGATAGAAGGGGGTGGGGGAGAGATCTTCCATCCGCTGGTTCACTCCGCAAATGGCCTCAATGGCCAGGACTTGAACCAGCACCCACATGGAATGCCAGCACCGCAGGAGGGGGCTTCACCTTCCAGGGCACAGTGCCAGCCCCAAGGTTGTTTCCTGATCACAGCCAAGTACGTCTGATCCGTGGTCTCTATCCAAGTGCAGTCCTTGTCCTGACACTCACCTGAGCTCCTCTGTGCCTTCACTGCCCTCCTTTTTTGCACCGAATGGGCCCCTGCCCTTTTAAATCCAAATGTATTAATAACAAGCAGGTGCAGACATCTGGCTTCGTTCGGGCTTCTGCTCCAGGCGTGCCAAGCATTTCCGTGTCGGAATCCCTATTGTTTTATTATCAATTACTTTTCTGGCTCTCCCATATTACAGTTAGGGCAATATATTAACTTGGAGGGGGCGCTGTATGTGTTAGTAAGCTCCATTAGTCATTAAGTCCATCTCAGGGCATAAAAGGGATATTATGGAGTGTTTATTATAAAAGAGAGGGCTGAAAGCTGTTGGCTTAGACAACAAGGGAACGTTGCCAGTGCGCTGGTGCCAGAGCACAGCGTGGGGAGAGGCGGGAGGTGGTAGTGGGCGAGCTCCCCCCTGGGAGCAGGTGTTTTTTCGGTCCAACAGCAGGTCCCAATTCCTGCCCCCTTCAGCTGTGCTCAGACTTTGCCCTGCACGCGGAATGCACACCCTACTCTATTCTATCCACCTACAACGTGCCTGCCTTCTCTGGGAGAGAACCTCACTGTTTCCAAGGATCCCTCGCGACTCACCCATGTAGAAAGAAGAGATAGGCAAGAGAAAACCATCACCACTCTGTTATTCCAGAGCCCCCCCACCCCCGCGCCCCGCCAGAGCTGTGAGAAGCTTGCAGATGTGAAGGGAATGCCAGGCATTTGGGACATCTGTCTTTCTAACATTTGAGTTCTGATTCCTCTTTGAAAAAACTGCTCTTTTGTTTATTCGGCAGTTTTGTGGTCCCAGTTAACAGGTGACTTCCTTTGAAAGCAGAGTTCATTTATCACCATTGATCATCCCCAGCCTTTAATAAATGCCTCGCTCAGTACGCAGGCTCAGTGTGCATGCGCCGGGTGATTTAAACGTGTGAGGCCTGTGCATGTTTTCAGATGCTTGAGGACCAACTGAAAATACACAGTGGAGCCAAGATCTTGAACATTCAAAAGGCATAGTTGACTTTGCATCCAAGTTCAAGTCCGGGTAAAAGGCTTTCTTTTATTAAAATCTAAAGATATTTAAAATTGAGCTTTTCCATGCTCCGGCTGTGCAACAGTGTTTTAGGCTTTTGTGGCTGCCCTTACTTGGGAATGGACTCAGATACACTTTTAAGTGCGCTTTGTTTAAAACATTAATATTTCTGGGACTGGCACTGTGGCATAGCAGGTTGGGCTGCTGCCTTCGATGCCAGCATCTCATGTGGGCACCAGTCGGGTCCTGGCTGCTTCATTTCTGATCCAGCTCCCTGCTAATGGCCTGGGAAAGCAGCAGCAGATGACCCCAAGTCCTTGGGTCCCTGCACCCACATGGGAGACCCGGAAGAAGCTCATGGTTCCTGGCTTTGGCCTGGCTCAGCTCCAGCCATCGTGACCATTTGGGAAGTGGATGGAAGATCGATCTCTCTCTCTCTCTAACACTGACTTTAAAATAAATAATTCTTTAAAAAAAAATCTTTTTAATTTTCATTCCAATTGCATATGTTTATGGGATACGGTATGATGATTCAATACATATATACAGTGTATAATGATCAAGTCAAGTTAGTTAGCATCCATCTCCTTAAACATCTTTAAAAGTTTTGGTTTACTACTCAATAATTGTATTTGTAAAGCATAAATATTTCCAACTTTCTGAGGGAACAACAGAGACTTTAAAAAGTAAACAAGAGAAATGGATTTCTAAGAGAGTGAGCACTTGGCACAGCAGTTAAGGTACCATTTGAGATGCCCGCATCCCCTCGTGGGGTGCCTGGGTTTGAGCCCAGACGTCTCTGCTTCCCATCCAGCTTCCTGCTGGTGTGCACCCTGCAAGGGCACAGGCACTTGGGTCCCTGCCACCCGTTTGCGAGGCTCAGATTGAGTTCCAGGCTCTTGGCTTTGGCCTGACCTAGCCCTGGCTGTTGCAGGCATCTTGGGAGTGAACCCGTGGACAGAAGATGAGTCTCTGTGTCTCTGCCCTGCAAGTAATTTAAAAACAACACCAACACCACCAGCCCTCGCCTGGCCTCATGGACACCTGGAAATGATCTCTACTTAGGAGGCAAGGTCGGGGACCTGTTTGCCATCAGTCTTACAGGTTCACGTCAGGTGTAGAGATGTGTATGTGCCAGCGCCGTGGCTCACTAGGCTAATCCTCCGCCTTGCAGCGCTGGCACACCAGGTTCTAATCCCGGTCGGGGTGCCGGATTCTGTCCCGGTTGCCCCTCTTCCAGGCCAGCTCTCTGCTGTGGCCAGGGAGTGCAGTGGAGGATGGCCCAAGTGCTTGGGCCCTGCACCCCATGGGAGACCAGGAGAAGCACCTGGCTCCTGCCATCGGATCAGCGCGGTGCGCCAGCCATTTTGGGGGTGAACCAACGGCAAAGGAAGACCTTTCTCTCTGTCTCTCACTGTCCACTCTGCCTGTCAAAAAAAAAAAAAAGAAAAGAAAGAAAGAAAAAGAAATGTGTATGTGGTGCTGTGTGTGGTAATCGATCTCTGTGATTCTTTCAGGTCCTGTAGGAGTGGGGCTGAATGAGCTGAAGCGGAAACTGCTGATCAGCGACACCCAGCACTACGGTGTGACCGTGCCCCGTGAGTTGTGCCCATTTTACAGGGCAAGAAACTGAGACTGGGTGGTTATGGGGCTTGCCTGGATCGCATGGATCACTGGCAGGACATCTGTTCTCACAATACCTTACTCGTAGATTTTTATGGTGACTTTTAGCACACATACAACTTCACATTATTGTTTACAGATCTCTGAAATAGAAGTCCCACTATTCTGTTTCCCAAAATAAATGCTAATGTGTTCCAGAGTATTTCACCAGCTTTAGGAGCACAACGACCAAACCCACAGAGAGCCGACGGAGACGTCTTACGTTAGAAACTTTTCTTAATGACTTTTGGTAGGCACAAACTAGCAGATAGTGTTCAGCAGGCCATATAGTTCAGATTCAGTCGGTGGCTTTTCAGGACACGGAATTAAATCTGTTTTTGTAAAAGCAGTTTTCGTAGGCATTCTTACAAATGAAATGTGATGCCTGAGACATTTTGATCTCCAGAATAAATGCCATTTGACTGCTTAATATGTTGATGTTAGAAAAAGCTGTCTGAAAGGCTAAATTGAAATGTTGGCTTTTTCAAGTGGTTTTGGTACTTTTTTTTTTTTTTAAGTCATTTGTGCCCTTAGCAATGTTCTCTAGTTTGGGAAGAGTTCAACTTTATTTTAAAATCACCATATTCTGTTGCGTCCAGTTACTTCTTGTTACTACATTTTTTCCAAATTGTTGTTTGTAATCATTTTCAGCCCTAAGTTACACGACTGCTGGTTTGTACCAGCAGAGATGAAAGTCAAGGAAAATGTGGAATTAGTTCCCTTTTTCCCTTCCCCCTTTAATTATTCACTTCTCTTACCAAAGCCCAGACGTGGTGTCCTCAGTAATTAGGACCGTTTGCGCAACGGTCCTTCGGCCTACAGGTGACCAGCAGTGAAGAGGAGAAACTTAGGAGACACAAGAGCAGATTACAAAGAGCAAAATGAATTGATGCCTTCCCACTGTGTGCCCCTGTCTTCACTCACTTGGCCCTGCCAGCAGAGGTGGCCGTGCAGGGGACACTGTGTCCACTTGGCAGGGAAGGAGACATGCACAGGCAGGAGTCTTTGATCCCTTCCGGGTTCTGCGGATGTTGGCTGCACTTGGATTCTTTTTAAATTGTTATATTTTAAAGATTTATTTATTTATTTGAGAAGCAGAGTTAGAGAGAGAGAGAGAGAGAGAGAGGTCTTCCATCTGCTGGTTCACGCCCCAGATGGCCACAACTGCCAGCGCTGTGCCAATCCGAAGCCAGGAGCCAGGAGCTTCTTCCCGGTCTCCCCCGCGGGTGCAGGGGCCCAAGCACTTGGGCCATCTTCTACTGCTTTCCCAAACCATCAACAGGGAGCTGGATCTGAAGTGGAGCAGCCGAGACTGGAACCGGCACCCTTACGGGATGCCAGTGCTGCAGACAGAGGCTTAACCTGCTACGCCACAGCGCCAGCCCCCAAGTTGTACCTGAATTTAAACCAGGTTTCATGAAAGCGCATCTCATGCTCCTCCCCCTGTGTGAGCCAGCAGCCCTTTATGGTCGCCCAGTTAGGAGTAGAAACATTTCTTTGGAAGGTGATAAATATCAAAAAGGCCAAGATGCGGATGTGACCCTCTGGGGTGGCTCTGGTGTTCCTGACTTGGGCCAACTACTAAGATGACATGTGCTTCTGAAGTTGTTCTGGAAGATGGAAATTTCCAGAAAGATTGTGGGGTTGGGACTCTTCAAAGAAACCCCCCAAGTTAATCTTTTCCATTCTGATTCAGGTTTCTTCCCCTCCCCTCCCCTTCTTTTCTTGATTAATTGGTTGATTTTTCAAAAGAGAGAGACAGAGAAAGAGGTCATCCATCCACTGGTTCACTCCCCCAATGCCTGCAACAGCCAGGGCTGGGCCAGGCTGAAACCAGGAGCCAGGACCTCCATCTGGGTTCCCACAAGGGTGGCAGGGGCCCAAGCACTCGGGCCATCTTCTGCTGCCTTCTTGGGCACATTAGCAGGGAGCTGGATCGGAAGTGGAGCAGCTGGAACTTGAGCGATAACACCCACTCTTAATTTTCTTAATCCTGTCTTTTCAGAGGAAAATGTCTTAATTTCAATGAAGTTTTAATTTATCCTTTTTTTTTTTTTTTGGTTGATATTTGTGTTCAGTGTAAAACTCCTCAGCTAGCTCAAGGTCACAAAGAAATTCTGTTTTCTTTGAGAAGTTTCATGGTTTTACGTTTAGGTTCTTTCAAATCCATTTCAAATTATTGTTTGTTCTGTTGTTTAACAGGCTTGCCTTGTTCCTCATCTCAGGGGAACAAATTTCCATCTCTCACTGTTGAGTACCAGGGTGCTTCAAAAGTGTGTACAAAGAAGGCATTGAAAGATAACTTTGGGGGCAGGCACTTTGTGCGCTGGTTAAAATGGGGTTCCTGTCAGTGTGTGGATTCAAGTCCCGGCGCCATTGCCCATCCATCTTCCTGCTAATGTGCACCCTGGGAGGCTGCACTGATACCTCAGGTACTTGGATCCCTGCCACCCACTTGAGCAACCCAATGGAGTTCCAGGCTCCTGGCCTGGCCCCGCTGTTGTAGGGATTTGAGCAGTGAACCCGCAGATGGAAGCTCTCTCTGTGTGTCTCAAATAAAAGGAAAAGAAATAAGAAGCAAACATTTTTTTTAAATGGCTGTTTGCTTGGTTTTTTTTTTTTTTTTTTTTGGTGCTAACAATATGTGAAATCCATGCATAATTTTTTTTCATAACACACATTTTCCATGAATGTGTTGAAGACCCCTGGTAATGGGACTTTGTAAGTTCTGTTAGAATATTCTGCAGAATGTCGGTGTTTTTATCTTAGCAGGTAGTCCGCAGCTGACGTCTAGACTCTAAGTTCTCTATCTCATTTACCTTTGCTGTGTTGATTGGAGTCTGCCTGGTTCAGGGAGCGGTTTGAGCCTTGAGTGCATGATTCCAATTTCAGCTCAGTTCTACAGCTTTTCTACCTTGGTTTGGGTGGGGTGGGGGTCTGTGCCTCCATTATTGAGGCTGAGATTTGTGTGTTCTTAGTGCTTGTCTTAAAACCTTTGGGATGCTGATTTGAGTCTCAGCTGCATGGATGTCACCCAGGGGCTATTCTTAGAGTTGTGTCAGTTCACAGGGAAAAAAAAAAAAACAGAAAGAAAGTAGCTCCTTCTCCAATTTCCTCCCCTCCTGCATCCCTGCCACGGCCCTCCACAGGGCTTCCTCCCCTCCCACCCCAGCCCAGTCTTTTCACCAAAAAAAAGACAGGGTTTCTTATGGAGCACAGCTGAAGAACATCCCACCACGCTGTTCTGCCAGTGATCCCTTCGTTTGGGGACAGAGCCACAGGGAAAAGGAAGTTAAACTCCTCCGCACAGCACACGGGCTGGCTCCCTCCAGGATCCACCTGCTTATCTCGAAGAGCTCAGAGCCCTTGAGTGGGGTCCTCAGTAGGAAGGAGGGGCTCCAGTGGGCTTGCACTCGCTGTCCTAGCACAGGAGCTGCTGGGTGGGGGTGGGGTTGGTTCTGCTCCTGTTTACTCTACTAACGGATAATCAGGAGCTGCTGAAAGACTTAGAAATGCATGGGGGCCTGAGAAGACGCCCTAGCACCTCTGCAGGGGAGGGGACGAGCAGCCCCTCCGGTCCGTGCGTCCAGGCAGGGAGCAGCTCTAGGGCCTGCCTCACAGCCTGGTGGACTAGGCGGGGGAGTCAGGATCAATAAATAGAGATAGTCAGAGGCCAGCGTTGTTGTGCTGCAGAGGTTAAGCCACCGCCTGCACCTTCCGGCATTCCATGTGAGCGCGGGTTCTAGTCCCAGATGGTCCTGCTTCCAAACCTGGTTACTGGTAATGCACCTGGGAAAGCAGCGGAAGATGGCCCAGGTACTTGGGACTTTACACCCATGTGGGAGACCCGGATGGAGTTCCAGGTTCCTGACTTCAATCTGGCCCAACCAGGACACTATGGCCATTTGGGGAGTGAACCATGGGATGGAAGACCTCTCTCTCTTACTCTCTCTCTTTCTGGGTTGTGTGTGTGTGTTTCCCTCTTTCTCTGTAACTGCCTTTCAAAGAAATTATAAATGAAGAAAATAAAGCTAATCAGCATGTGCTTTTTTAGTTAATAACCACTTTTATTTAATTGTCATAATAACCTTCTAAGTCATGAAGAAATTCAATGGAATTGTTAATCCATCTTCACATTCATGTAATTTTAATATCAGTGGGAAGTCTAAATTTTTGACACGATCTTATATTTTTCTTTGTTGATTTGCTTTTGAACGGTTTAAAAATCCCGTTTAAGAAAACCAAGTACATGTGGTGGTCTGTATTTCAGTATTTTCTTCGGGCTTTTCTAAACTCTTCTGCGTTCAATCACAGATACCACAAGAGCAAGAAGAAGCCAGGAAAGCGACGGCGTTGAGTACATTTTCATCTCCAAGCACCTGTTCGAGACAGACGTCCAAAACAACAAGTACGTGGAATCTTCTAGAATTCTTGGGCTTACTTTTAAGCACATGCCCGTCTATCCAGTTATAGAAAGCCAAGGGTCCCCCTTCATTTGAAATGTATTTTGGTTATTGCAGAATTGAAACCGACTTGAAAATAATCACAGTAATCCAGGGAGTAATTGTGTCCCATCTTCACGTGTGCTGTTTATAACCTGGAGCTGCTGCAGGAGGTTGCTCCTCTTCCAGTCCAGCTGTCTGCTGTGGCCCGGGAAGGCAGTGGAGGATGGCCCAAGTGCTTGGGCCCTGCACCCGCATGGGAGACCAGGAGAAGCACCTGGCTCCTGCCTTCACATCAGCATGGTGCGCCAGCCACAGCAGTCATTTTGGGGGGTGTACCAATGGGAAAAGAAAGACCTTTCTCTCTGTCTCTCTCTCACTGTCTGACTCTGCCTGTCAAAAAACAAAAAACTAATGAGCCACCAGGTCCTATACCCCAGAGTCTCCTACAGCACCCCTCTTCTCACATGGGCGCTTTCACACTTGGAAACACGGTTCCATTTTTGGTACTCGCCTGTGCCGTCTCCTCCAGCAAGCTCTTAAGTTTTCTCCTCCCCCCCCCCCCAAAGGTTTTCCATTTGCTTAAGCATGAATATTTTAGGATATCAGACGCAGCGTGTATTTTAGTGCAGGATTGTGGGATTTTATTGAAACATCGAAATGCTTTTTGCGCCCTTGGCGCAGCCGTTGTGTTTTTATAGCACGTAATTGGCTGTCCTTGTTCCATTAGCCACCACCCAGCTCCCGTGGCTCCTCGGGCCTGTGTGGCTCCTCGGTCACGTGCAGCACAACTTCAGGAGTCTCTGTTGTCTGGCTTACTCCCTGTTTTATTGCGTCGCATTAGTTCCGAAACGGGGGGTGATGGAAAGCATAAGCGTGCCCCTGGACTGAAGTACTTTTCTTCTGCGTTAAGTGTAATCCAAGCAAGTGTTACTGATTTGGAAATATAAAATTGAAGATTTTTTTTTTTTAAGTTGACATTCTGAAGTACTTGGCTCTATTTATTTTATTAAACATAATAAAAAAATAAATTGCGTGTTCAGCCAAAATAGCTTTAACCTATGAATGATGCCTTGCCACCTATAATATTGTTTTAATTCATACAGGGCTCCAATGCATCTCTCGTTTTCTGTAGGTTCATTGAATACGGTGAATATAAAAACAACTACTACGGCACAAGCATAGACTCGGTGCGGTCTGTCCTCGCTAAGAACAAAGTTTGCTTGCTGGATGTTCAGCCCCATGTAAGTACGCAGTGACCTTGCCCTTGACCTGTGTGACCTCGTGCATGTCACCGGCACACTTAATGTGTACCAAGTCTGCAGTCTGCACGCGTTTCGGCTTCTACGGCACTTTGCCAGGATGTCAAAAGCATTTAAAGGTACATGGAGACATCTTTGGTGACAAAAATGCCTGTCAGGTTATTAGCAAACGGGAGTGGAGAAGACACCCAAGACCCGTGTTTGGGTTTGTAACTCTCGTTTGTGTTTGGTTTTTGTCAAGTAAGGCGACTCTTAGATATTTCTGTGTGTTAGTTTTAGTTACTTATTTATTTTGAAAGGCAGAGTGATAGAGGGAGAGAAAGAGAGATTTTCCATCTACTGCTTCATTCCCCAAAAATCCGCATCGGCTGGTCCAGGCTGAAACCAGGAACCAGAAACCCCATCCAGGTCTCCCATAATAGTGAAAGGGACCCAAGTACTCGAGCCATCTTTTGCTGCCTTGCCTGGAGCAGTAGCCGGGCGCTGGATCGGAAGTGGAGCAGCCAGGACTCCCCTGTCGGATGCCTGCATGGCCCATGATGTCCTAACCTGCTGAGCCACTATGTGGGGGAGGGGGGGAGATAAAAATATTTTCAAATACAAGTTCAGCTCTCCAGCCTTTTTTTTTTTTAAGGAGGTTTTTGTTACAGCTAGTTATCAAGGACCCTCTGGGTAATAATAATATCAAAAGACTTACTGAGTTTAGGGAATTCTCTCCCACACACAGGTAGATGGAAGGAATACAAAGGGCCCAGGGAGGTGAGTAGAAGTCACAGAAACCTACTGTGTTTTCTATGAATAATAGAAGAGAGCGGCTTGGAGGCCCCAAACACAAAGTGATGGAGAGGACAGGGGCGGGTCAGGACCCTGATTTGATCCGTGCACATTATATGCATTTTCTGCAATGTCACCCTCTACCCCCTCACACTAAGGTAATTAAAAAGTATCTATTTTTAGTCTATTGACTGTTAATAAAAATTGTGTTTAAGGAGGTGAAAATCCTAACTAAAGTGAGCTGAGCACCACACGTATCTAATTATCTATCATACCATATGCCATTCTGGTATGTGCAGTTAATGGTTTAACCCATTAAGTACCAACTTTTCAATTCTGCAATATTTAAGCAGCATACTATTTATTTCAGAGTTATCATAGTAGTAAATTTATTGCTCAATGTCAGTCTTTTTTTTTTAATATTTATTTCATTTAGAAGGCAGAGTTACAGAGAGGCAGAAAGAGAGAGAGAGGTCTTCCATCTGCTGGTTCATTCCCTAGATGGCCAAAATGGCTGGAGCTGGACCAATCCGAAGCCAGGAGCTTCTTCTGGGTCTCCCACGCGGGTTCAGGGACCCAAGGACTTGGGCCATCTTCTACCGCTTTCTCAGGCCATAGCAGAGAGCTGGATCAGAAGAGGAGCAGTCGGGATTGGAACTGGCGCCCGTATGGGATGCTGGCACTGCAGGTGGCGGCTTTAACCCTACGCCACAGCACCAGGCCCCTCAATGTCAGCCTTTACTGGAGTCCTGTGTCTACGACAATAGAACATACTCAGTAAAAGAATTTTCTCCTGAGCAAGCAAATGCGGTAACCATTGGTGTTAGGAAGAAATGCCAGTGGCTTTCTCCCTTACAGACAGTGAAGCACCTAAGGACGCTCGAGTTCAAGCCCTACGTGATCTTTATAAAGCCTCCGTCCATAGAGCGATTGAGGGTGACGAGAAAGAACGCCAAGATCATCTCCAGCAGAGACGACCAGGCAGCTGCAAAGCCCTTTACGGTGAGTACGGGCACGTGCTGCGAGGACGCACAGCTGTCCCCGGAAGCAGCCCGCTGCCACCGGCAAGGCTGTCACGGGTGAACCTGTGGTCCAAAACTCTGCAAAGCGTGGACTTGGATTTGGGTACATGCTTCTTCAACAGTTGCATCGTAATTGCATTTTGTGCTTCCGTGAGTGGCTCTTCTGTTGTTACCTTCCCTGCCAACTCCCCCAAATGCCCGTCCTACCTGGCGCGGGGCTGGGCCTCAGCCAGGACCTGAGGACTTGGTCTGGGTCTCCCGCATGAGTGGCGGGGGACCCAAGTGCTTGAACCATCACCTGCTGCCTCTCCAGGTACACGTTAGCAAGAGGCTGGACTCAGCAGTGGAGCCGGGACTCAAACCCCAGCACTCAGGCTTGGGATATAGGATGGACATGGCCCAGGCAGTGTCTTAACCACTGTGCCAGATGTCCACTCCGAGCTCTCTGTATTAAACTGACTCAAAAATATTTTGTCTGCTACTATGAATATTTTGTCTGCTACTATGAATATTTTGTCTGTTATGCATACATATTAGATTTTCGTAGGCCAAACATTTATATAAAAAGGCTAATTATTTTCAGACCAGCCTTACTTTTAAATCTAAAAAGACCAAAGTCAGTTACTTTTAACTCATTTGTAATCTAGATGAAAACTGTTAATAGTGTGTCTTGTTATTTACTTAATTTGCATCGATAATCATATTTGACACAATAAAAGTAAAAGCACCATTTGGGGTATAGGATACATCGACTAATATTAATATTCCACAATGAATATTACTGGAATTGGTGACTGTGATGTGTTAATGACTAGAATGGCTTCTACACAGCCAATCAAAATACTTCCTGGCTTCAAAATGTGAACAGGAGGGCTCCTCAGACGCTCATAATGAGATTGGAAGGGTATGGCAACCACCCTCCGTAAATGCATCCAACTGGGGAAAGTAGCTTATGTTCTAAATTCCTTCCTATGAATAAGCATAAATAACGCAGCCAGGGGCTGCATCAGCACCAGTTCTTTTTTCCCATATCCCTGTCACACATAATGAGTTAGCGACTGCTCCTCTTAAATTCAGCATATGAGGGGGTTTTGACTGTTGGAGGATTTCAGTTCCAAGCTGATCAGAGAGGTAGTTATAGAAATGAGGGCCTGCGAAGAACTTGTGGTGAAAGAGGGTAATTTTTATTTCTGGCTGAGATGAAACACTGAACACTGAGCAGAGCAGCAGTAGATCAACCAGTGGTGGAATGTTTGCATGGCTGGGAAGTGATGTCATTGCCTGGTTAACCGATTTTTTTTGTTCCGATACTTCCTTCTGTAGGAAGAAGACTTTCAAGAAATGATCAAATCTGCACAGATAATGGAAAGCCAATATGGCCATCTTTTTGACAAAATTATAATAAATGATGACCTCACCACGGCCTTTAATGAGCTAAAAACAACTTTTGACAAATTAGAGACAGATACCCATTGGGTCCCTGTGAGCTGGCTGCATTCATAACTTAGGAAAATCCCCATAATTGGTTTTTTAATTGAGTGCATGGTTAAATCAGTTACCATTTTGGTGGTAGGGTTGTTTTTTTTTTTTTTTTCTCTGTATCACTGTCATAGCTGTACAATCTGGGTTAAAACCAAATGCCGGTTTTGTGTGTATCTTTTACAGGCTTATTTGAAACACAGTGTGTGAGTCTTAAGAGTCAAAATCAGAATTTGCACAGTACTGTATTCCGAGCAAAACTCTGAAACCTTCTTGTAGTCTGTAGTAGAACTCTGTCTGGGCTAGATTTTTTTTTTTTTCCTTTTAAAGAGACGTAGCTGGAGACTTAAGGTAATATGGGACTTCGGTGCTTCATCCGGGCTCAGAGATGGGCACCACCGTGCAGTCTGCGCGTTAAGCCCTGGAAGACTTACCTGAGTGGCCTCGGGCAGCTCCAGACAGATGCGGAAGCTTTGCTGCTCTCCACGTGACCCATCATGGATTTGTCGGGGCTGGCAGGAAGGCAGAGGCCTCGCACAGGTCCCCCAGTGCTTCATACACAGCACGTTCACACTGTGTGCATTTTGAAGGAGTCACCAAACGTTGACCTTGAGTGAGTGGCCTCGGCTTAGTAGCTTGGGAAGTCCTGATGAGTGCACCAGCAAATATGCAATAAGGGAAAATAGATTTAAAAAAAAAAAATCATTGTGTATGCAACTAAAAACCCTTCCTTAAGGCTTAGGAAGCCTTAGGAAGAACGAGGGATACCTTGGGGCAAGAGATGATGACACGGGACATTTTCATTTGTAAATCCTCATGAGACCCTTTCTGAAGCCCCCAAAGTGGTGGGTTTTTAACTGACTGAATTTTCCCAGTAAATCAGAAGAACATGATTCCCATTCTGAAACATATGATATGACTAGAGAAAATGTCATCACTTTTCAGATACGTACAATGGATCACCATACATTTAAATTTCAGTAAGATAGGTCCTGGAAAAATGTTCATGTAACATTAGCTTTTTTGTCACCAAAGCAATCGTTAACACCAATGAGACACCATCGTAACGTTGGCTCTTGTTAGAAGTTCAAGAAAGACTCTTAGATGGTAAACATCAAGATCTCTCGTTTTCTTTATACTACTGATCTTCAGCAAGCAAATCTGATAATTTAAAATATCAGAAATATCTGTATGCTCCTTAAGAGAATTCATTGCATCTGTGACTTTTAAACCGAAAAAAGATTATTTTTTGTTGATCTGTAAAGAGAGTTTAAATGTCATGTTTAAAGAAAAATAGAATGTAGTGAAATTTTATATATTTATGAACTATTTGAAAGGCATATTTTTTTAATTTTTAGACGGGGCTATTCATAAAACAAATTGATTATATGTAAAGATGTCATAATTTAAAATACTAGTTTTGTAACTCGAAGTCAGCATTCCATGTAAATACTTTTCTTGCACAGATAGAGCCACAAGTGCATTCGGTATTTGGTAGAGTTATGACTCGATGTCTGTAGACCTGCCAGCTCACCTGCGACAAACACATTCAGAAACTCCCCCTGCGGCCTGAGATGCATTCTCAGCAAAATCACCAGGTGATCAGACCAAGCGCTACTTAACCACAGCGTCCAAATAATGAGTTCCAAGTCGATGAGCAACAGTAGTTTAGTTTCAGAAGCAGCAGGTGAGGAGGAAGGTCATCACACCTTGACTATGAAGCTATCGAATTGTACAGCAGATCTAAGAAAAGCACATGTCTTTGTTTGGGATGGAACATTTCAGTTCTTGAACACGGATGAGAATTTCCTATAGAGCAAGAACTTCCTGTACCAAGAATGGGGGTGCATGCAGCGAGTGCGTGATTTTGGCAATCTACTGCATAATGTAGGCAGTCCAGATTCTTTCTCCTTAAACATCGACAGTGATTTTCTTTTGAAAATTTTCACTTGCAGATAATCGCTTTGGTTCTTTCCTTGGAGGCTAGAGAGAGTGTGACGGTACTGGAACCTGTCCTTTTTGGTAGTACTGGTGGTGGTGGTGGTAGTAGTGATGGGGTGTTGCCAAAATGTGACAATCCAGGCCTCCTCCCTTTTTTTTTTGTTGTTGTTGTTGTTTTTAAGACCAGATCTAGAGAACAATATTTTCTTAAATAATAAAGAGAAAGCACTTTGGCAGTTTGAGAAATCAGGTAGTAGACATAGCTTTATCCATGGTGTTCACATATGGCCATCTTCATGTCTGCAGAGAGATTTCATTAAAATTTAGTGTGGCCTGGCCAGACCTGAAGGCCTGCTGATAACCACAGCAGAGGCCCCAGAACCGGTACTTCCTTCCCATGGCTCTCTTCTCCGGCGCGGAGATCAGCAGTGTGCCCTCTGGCCCAGCAGCAAGCTCCCAAGGCAGAGTGGCAGCCACTATTTGAGAAAAACAGGGGTGCTGGCTTTCATAAGCCATGTAATGAAAACTGAGAACCAAGAAGGAAATTTTGTGCTCTTGTGACTTGACAAATTAGAATTGGTGAAAAGCAAATAAAAAGAGGAAATTGAACTTTATGATTTTTTTTTTAACCATGACTTGACTAAGCAATATGGGAGTTCTTTCTTGGAATCTCCTGAGAGTGTGGAATGATTGAAATGTGTCAAAAGTGTAATAACTCACAATTGACAAGTATGTAAACTTCTCAGAGCTACAAAACATGTTGTTAAAGTCTTCCTGAAGATACAGATTTTTATTATTTATTTCCTTTTTGAGTAGTGAGGATTTATAAGTAAATGTAATGGAAAACCTTTGATCTTAATAAAGTATCTTGGAACAATGTATGTACTTAATTATTTTTCCACTCGTTATTCCACTCTATTACACTGTTAATTTGTTCTGTTACGCTGCTATTCGCTGTGACAGAGCAACTTTGCCTTTGTGCTGCGGTAGGAAGTGAATCATTTGAACTTGCCATAATGAAAACTGAATTTCCTGTTTCATTTCCCATCAAACACTTCTGGCATCCAGGTCACTGGAGACACAGAGCTCGCCAGCCTTCCTCTTCCCCATACAGTACAGTGTTGGAGCATGTGGAGAAACACAGTGGGATGGTCCTGACCAGCCCTGAGGGGGATACCCCTGCACCCTCTGCACCTTCAGGAGTCAGCGTGCTGCACAACCCTCGGCCTTATAAGTTGCAGATGGGCAACACCAAACTTCTCAGCCACACACACGTGGGAACAGACTCCACTGCTTCTGCAGGCAAATTCATTAATGCAGGTCTTGTAGCAGTTAAGAGCATGGGGCGTGGGGGTGGGCACACCTGCCCTTTGGGACACCCTCATCCCACATCAGTGCCTGGGTTCAAGTCCTGCATCCGCTTCCAGTCCAGCTGCCTGCTAACGCACACCCTGGGAGGCAGCAGGTGATGGCTCAAGTGCTTGGGTCCCTGTCACCCATGTCGGAGACACAGGTGGAGTTGTTGGGTCCTGGTCCAGTCCCAGCTATTGTGGGCATTTGGTGAGTGAACCAGTGGATGGAAGATTCATTCATTCTCATTATCTATCTGTCTATCTATCTATCTATTGGTGAGTGAACCAGTGGATGGAAGATCCTTGGTTCTGCTTTTCAAATAATTTTTTTTAAATATTATTTAAGGTAGAAAAATGTCATGTATTTCCTGTGTACAGATTCAGAAACAGAGAGATACTTCTCACCCTACCCTCACTTCCACCCACACTCCCACCCCTCCTCTTCCCTCTCCTATTCCCATTCTTAAGTTTTACAAAGATCTATTTTCAGCTAGCTTTATACTCATAAGATTAACCCTACACTAAGTAAAGAGTTCAACAAATAGTATGAAACAAAAAACTGTTCCTTAACCATTGAAACAAGGTAATGTAAATAATCATTGAATTTCACAATGTCAATTTCATTCCCATAGATTACCTTGTAAGTACTCTATTAGTTACCACAGATCAGAGAAAACATGGTATTTGTCTTTTTGGGGCTGGCTTATTTCACTAAGCATAATGGTTTCCAGTTACATCCATTTTGTTGCAAAAGACAGGATTCATTCTTTTTTATGGCTGAGTGGTATTCCATAGTGTGTGTATACCATAATTTCTTTATCAGTCATCAGTTGATGGACATCTGGGTTGATTCCATTTCTTAGCTATTGTGAATTGAGCTGCAATAAACAAGAGAGTATAGATCACTCTTTTATATGCTGATTTCATTTCCTTTGGGTAAATTCCCAGGAGTGGGATGGTTGGGTCATATGGTAGGTCTATATTCAGATTTCTGAGATACCTCCATACCATCTTCCACAGTGGCTGCACCTGTTTACATTCCCACCAGCAGTGGATTAGGCTACCTCTTTCTCTACATCCTGGCCAACATTTGTTGATTTCAATGTGAAAGCCATTCTAATGGAGTGAGGTGAAACCTGATTGTGGTTTTGATTTGCATTTCCCTGATGGTTAGTGATCATGAGCATTTTTTCAAGTGTCTGTTGGCCATTTGAATTTCCTCACTTAAAAATTGCCTGTTCAAGTCCTTTGCCTGTTTCTTACTGGACTGTTTGTTTTGCTATTGTTGAATTTCTTGAGCTTAAGACTGTACTTTTGGGGATCATTTCTATGGTGCAAATTTCTTGAGCTATTTATAGATTCTGGATATTAACCCTTTATCAGTGGCATGGTTTGCAAATGTTTCTCTCATTCTGTCAGTTGCCTCTTCACATTGCTAAGTGTTTCTGTTGCAGTGTAAAAGCTTCTTAGTTTGATATAATCCCATTTGTCAATTTTGGCCTTGATCGCCTGTGCTTCTAGGGTCTCTTCCAAGAAGTTTTTGCCTATGCCTATGTCTTGCAGAGTTTCCCCAATGTTCTCCAGTAATTTGATGGTCTCAGTCACAGATTTAGGCCCTTGATCCATTTTGAGTGGATTTTTCTGTAAGGTGTAAGGTAGGGTTCTTGTTTCATACTTGTGCACATGCAAATCCCGTTTTCCCAGCACCATATGTTGAAGAGACTGTCCTTGCTCCAGGGATCGACTTTAGCTCCTTTGTCAAAGATAAGTTGGGTGTAGATGTGTGGATTGGTTGCTGGAATTTCTATTCTGTTCCATTGGTCTACACGTCTCTTTTCGCCAGTACCAGGCTGTTTTTTTTTTTTTTTTTAAGATTTATTTATTTATTTGAAAGTCAAAGTTACACAGAGAGAGGAGAGGCAGAGAGAGAGGTCTTCTGTCTAATGGTTCACTCCCCAATAGGCCGCAACAGCCGGAACTGCACCAATCCGAAGCCAGGAGCCAGGAGCTTCTTCTCTGGGTCTCCCACACGGGTGCAGGGGCCCAAGGACTTGGGCCATCTTCTGTAATCCCAGGCCATAGCAGAGAGCTGGATCAGAAGTGGAGCAGTTGGCCGGCGCCACTGCTCACTAAGCTAATCCTCCGCCTGCGGCGCTGGCACACAGGGTTCTAGTCCCGGTTGAGGAGCTGGATTCTGTCCCGGTTGCCCCTCTTCCAGGCCAGCTCTCTGCTATGGCCCGGAAGTGCAGTGGAGGATGGCCCAAGTGCTTGGGCCCTGCACCCACATGGGAGACCAGGAGAAGCACCTGGCTCCTGCCTTCGGATCAGTGTGGTGAGCCGGCCGTGGCGGCCATTGGAGGGTGAACCAACGGTAAAGGAAGACCTTTCTCCCTCTCTCTCTTTCTCTCTGTCCACTCTGCCTGTCAAGAAAAGAAAGAAGTGGAGCAGTTGGGATTTGAACTGGCACCCATATGGGATGCTGGTGCTTAAGGCCAGGGTGTTAACCTGCTAAACCACAGCACCACCCCCTAGGCTGTTTTGATTATAACTTCCCTGTAGTATGTCTTATAATCTGATACTGTGAAACAAAGCTGATACCTCCAGCTTTTTGTTATATAAGATTAGTTTAGCTATTGAGGGTCTTTTGTGTTTCCATATGAATTTTAGCTTCATTCTTTTCTAGATCTGAGAAGAATGTCATTGGTATTTTCATTGGGATCACATTGAATCTATAAATTTATTTTGGTAGTATGGACATTTTGATAATATTGACTCTTCCAGTCCATTAACATGGAAGATTTTTCCTTTTTTTGTGTGTCTTACATTTTCTTTCTTTAATGTTTTATAATTTTCATCATAGAGGTCTTTGACATCATTGATTAAATTTATTCCAAGCTATTTAATTTTTTGTAGCTATTGTGAATGGGATTGATCTTAGAAATTATTTTTACTTTTAATTATTTAAGGATTTATTTACTTGGAAGGCAGAGATACAGACAGAGTGAGAGTGAGAGAGAGAGAGAGATCTTCCATCTGCTGGTGATGGCCTAGGCTGAATCAGGCTGGAGCCAGGAGCCAGGAACTTCTTTGGGGTCTTCCAAGTAGGTGCAGGAGCCCAAGCACTTGGGCCATCTGCATCTGCTTTCCCAGGAGCATCAGCAGAGAGCCAGATTGGAAGTGAAACAGCCAGGAGTGCCCCCCCACCAATGCCTGGTCTTTAAAATACTCTTTAACATATTAGGGGCCCAAACAAGTCACGCTATAGACATTTGTTTTATTGGACTCCACTTTTTTTCCCTCTCCCTCTGGATAAAAGTTTAATCTTAAAATCCAAGTCTGAGAGAAAGTTGTTAATGGTTTTTGATTTATCATGATTGTGTTCTAACTTTGTTTGCCCCTTGGGCTTCTTGTCTGAGAAAACTGAAAGGCTGGCCAAACACTAGTCGAGTCTACCATTTGAACGTGGTAGCGTCTCTTTAATTGCTTAATTCCCCTTGGGCATACTCATGCCAGATGTTCATTTGTTGAGTCCTTGCTCCATGCCAGGCATTTTGCTAATTAACAGTAAGTAGCCTGTCTGCAATCATCAGCTCTACTCACATAGAAAAGTTCTAAATAGAAATATATTTAGGTAACTCTGGAAACTGGCTACAAATCAATATAGTTATTGTAAAAATTAAAGAAAATGGTATATAGCAAAAGTAATGAGTATATTATTACTAGGAATCTAGAAAATACCAACGTAGCAGGATAGAAGGAGGATATCGCACTTTTCTGCTGTGGCATAGTAGGTAAACCCACCCATGATGCTGGCATCCCATATGGGTGCTGGTTCCAGTCCCCCCTGCTCCACTTCCAATTCAACTCTGCTCGTGTGCCTGGGAAAACAGCAGATGGCTGTTTTCAGTTTTCTCAGACAAGAAGCCCAAGGGGCACACAAAGTTAGAACACAATCATGATAAATCAAAATGCTTGGGTCACTGCCACCCATGTGGGAGACCAGGATAGAGTTCTGGGTTCCTGGTTTGGGCCTGGCCCAGCTCCAGTCATTGTAGCCATTTAGGGGGTGAGCGAGGAGGTGGGAGTTTCTCCTTCTCTTTCTCTCCTTCTCTGTAACTCCACCTATCAAATCAAATAAAATCTTTTAAAATAACTTTTCTAAATATAAATTTAAAAAGTGAATACTTTTTAAGAACTTGAAAGCAATCACCCGTGGGACTGAAAGTAAATATAAAAAGAGTTTTAATTTTCCCTGTTGTGGGTGTTGTGGCACAGCAGAGTAAACCTCTTGGGACATCCACACCCTATATTCGAGTTCCAGTTTGAGTCCCAGCTACTCCACTTCTGATCCAGCTCTCTGCTAATGCAGCCTGGGAGGCAACAGATGGCAACTCAAGTGCTTGGGCCTCTGCCATCCTCGTGGGACACCCAGGTGGAGTTCCTGGCTGTTGTGGACATTTTGGAAGTGAACCTGTGGAAGGAAGATTCATCTCTCATCTCCCCTCCCCTCCCCTCCCCTCTTCTCTCTC